AATGTACTTAAGATAATATCGATGGTATCTAGTTCTCTAAATATAATATCAGAGTAGATTTTTTTTAAAGTAAAATATTTAAAATAGACAAAAAAGGTCAATTTGGTATTTTTTTAAATTCCACATGAAGGAAAATATTTTAAACATTTGTTTACAATTATATACAGAATACGATTATTACTTTATCCATTATCTAAGTCCACTTCTTTCTAATCTCTCTAAGCGTGTTTCACATTGACTTCTGTGTATTCATCCACTTGAGAACTTCTTTATTCCTTACTTTTTGTGTCTATGAAATTCTCGGCACTCGTTTTAGTACCATATTTCAAAGGCTTCAATTTTGGCTTTCTCGGCATTAAGTATTGTCCAGATTTCAACTTCGTACAAAGCCACGCTATACAAAAAACTTTGTATAAGTGCTCTCATAATGTCCAAACTTATTACTTTTGCGGAGAAAAGGTGTTTGTTTTTAATTAAATGTTGTTTTACTTGCGCTATCCTACTTATTTTTTCCATTAATTGTTATCTTGTTTACCAGATATTTACAATTGTTAGCTAATTCTAATATTATATCGCCTTAGACTATGTTTTATTTTATCTGGTGCTGTTAATAACATATTCGTATAGAATATTTATATAATATTATGAAAAACCCAAAAGAAAGTAATTTAATAACTTAAAACTCTAGCGATATTGTTGTTCTTAATTTCTCTGTACGTGATTAAATTAACTAAGAAACTTAATTTTATAGCTTAACATGTAAAGTTTTTGTATAGTATACAATAATATAGTTTGGTTAAGGGAAGTTTTACAATTATAAATGAATAAAGTATAAAAAGTTGATTTTATTAAATGAAAATGTCCAAACATGTTTAATACACGGCATTCCCCAAATAAGTTGTATAATGTGCATTTTAAAATTAGAAAAGACAAATTATTGTTTATTAATATAATTAAATCCGTGAAAATACTTATTTTATATTAATCCTTTTTGTTGGGAATGAACAAGCTGATTTCCTAGCTAGGAAAGGAGCTGAGACACCCTATATGGGTCCCGAACCAGTGGTAGGACTATCAGAGCAAGCTCTGAAAGCAATACCGAAAAACTGGAATAGGGAAGAACACAGGATAATATGGAGATACCTGGTGGTACCTAGACAATCAAAGATGATCATCAAGCATCCTGGTAGAAGAACAATGAGCTTGCTGGTTGGACTTTTAACAGGCCACTGGCATTTACTCAAGCATCTGTACAACATGGGAATCACAGAATCACCAATATACAGAAAATGTGGAGAAGAGGAGGAAACGACGCACCATATCTTGTGTGATTGTAACTCCCTAGCTACTCTAAGGCAAATTACCTTCGGAAAATCTTTTCTTGGAAAGGAGGAAATCAAAGATACCGGAGTAAAGGAAATATTAAGATTTACATAGGACTCTGGTTTATTCAACGCACTAAGTTATTAAACTAAGTAGGATGTACGCGTTAAGGCTACGAGAAATAGGACTTAGGCGAGAGGGTGTGCACAATGGACCTACAGGTCTGAGTGCATGGACACTACTTGGGACCACCCACTAACTAACTAAAACAAAATTAAATCCTTTTTGTTTACAATCGCCAACCCTGATGTCATAAAAAAAATTGAAGAAGCAATATTTGTATGGAATTAATATTAAATTGGAATAAATATTAAATTGGAATAAATAACTTTTCAAATACTGAAATAATTACTGGAGATCAATTTCTTTTAACCTATTCTATTAATTCCAAAATGTGACATTCATTAAATACAATTTGCTTCTCTCAATCGTTTATCATACAAATAGAGCCTGCCGACTGTCATGATCAACATATCCACTGTAACACGAAATTTTGATAACCTTATGACCAACTATTGACAATTGTAATTGTATTGCCTATTGTTGAGAGCTGTACGTAGTAATGTGTTATGATTCTGTAATGACATTTATAAATACATCTATGAAATGGGTATAGATTATAATATGTTGTAGTATATTGATAAAATTATCGGTCGACGATAGCAATATTTTTGTGTTTGGATTTAACGTGACTTAAGTGGATTATTCGTTTGTCCTAGTAATAGCGAGGTTTTTAGCTTTGTCCCGGCAACTGAAAATCGTTATTTTGTCTAAAGAACAGTCCATAGACCATGCTGTTACAGTTTTTTTATTGGCACTACAATAATAACAATATTTTTTGTTATTATTGTTATTATACGCCTATATTATTAACCCGATTTTTAGATGAGGATTCGGTGTAATAACTATAATATACTAAAATTAAGTAATGCGAGGCTAGTGTTGTAACCGTTGCAATAAGAGTTGCGCACTCTATAAACTGTAATTTTTCAATAACTATTGAGTCATGAACAGTAATTAATATATACTACCACAATATTATTATTATTATAACCAAAACGCTAAACTCCGCGGCAGCGGCTGACCGACAATATCGATCATGTATGTTATGTTTAACATTTTCCGGTATAATACATGATAAAATCTGTGGGCGAGTTTTTTTATTTTAATAATTAAAATATCCACCAGCTTCTTGTTCCTTTTAATGCACTATACTCGCTTTGGTCGAAACTGTTTTAGAGAGAATAATTAAAAATGTATTGTTCTTATTGTAATTTTTTTTTTTATAATACTGACATTGTTTTTGGACCCGATTTAATGATGATAATGGGGCCCGTATCCTAATCCTATCTGGAGCTTTTGATAGCATAATTTTTACCTGACAAACCCAAATCCGAGATAAAAGGTATCTTTAAACTTTCAGCCCGGATCATAGATCCTTGGTATCGGTAGTAACTATGGGTAATCTGTTGTACTCATAGACATATAAGAAAATCGACTTACGCCTCCCACATGCTTCCGCGGGTGCAACATTGTTAAAAAAAGATTTAGTTTGGGATTTCCCTTGAATTGAAAAGACATGGAACAAACCTGAACACAACATTAATTTACTCGTTAAAATGTAACTGTTAGGTTTGTTTAAAATTCTTAAATAACAAATAAATATTATATTATGTCTCTTTTTGTTGTTAGCCGAACAGTAAAATTAACTACAATCGCTACCTATCTCTATCTTTTTTTCTATACATAGAGAATATATTTTAAAATGCATAAATTATTAAGACGAAGTTCATTGAAGTTTAAATATACAGCTATTTAATACCGTCGTCAGATTATAAACACCGAAATTCAAATTAGGTCGTAAGACCATTTCAGCTTTTAATACAAAGTGCTTATATAGTGGTTTGAGTACACATTAATATTCATACCATTGTTAAATATTACCATAAATTAGATTATGTAATTCTTTAAGTGATCAAGAAAGAGTTAAACCCTCTTTTGCTTTCGACGAATACCATTTTGCTTTAAGCAGTATTTTACTCACAGAGTATATAAAATAATTCTATAAATAACTATATCAAGCTAGGTAGTAGTTTTAATGCCCACAAGTTATAATTTTTCATATCTATTGTATTGTACTTGAATTCTTTTCATTTCGGTATGAATTTTCAACGATAAGATGGACAAATTTTCCCCTAATATCCTAGGTAGTTATAACTCAATGGTACAAGATTGTATAGCGATTATAAGTGATTGCGATTTAAGGTTTACACTTTATCAGTTTACCATGCCGAACAGTTAAAATAAAAATTTGTTGATTAACAAACAAAATATTTAATGGAAAAACACGATATTCTATACAAAAATTAGTTAACCTAAAACTAGACTACTTAAAATTTGAAACAGGATAATTACAACGATGGTTTAATGTTAATTGTACTATTATGACGAATGAAGTTAAAAAATGTATTCTGATGTGGGCTTAACGAGTTTAAAGTTCAAATGACAAAATTATTTTTATTTTTATTTATAATAAATTGGGTTTTATTTTTCAATGTGTGGATAGATTCACATTCTCAAGTGATCAAGTCTCATTAGCTATTATTTTCAGACAGTTGATCAGCCAAGGACGACGCGACGGACCGTAGGGTAAATAATAATAATTGAACTCCGATAACAACTACTGTAAGACGACGATTATGAACAGATTTACATGGTGTGACCTATATTGGGGCGTTTACTTTTTAAAACAAACCAGGTATTTTAGGTTTGAGCAAATGTGTTTTATTTTAATTTAACTGAAGAGGGCCGCGGGTTTGCTTATAAACAAAAAAGGCGCAGTAGCCGGAGACACCAAAAACGATGACAGTTCATACAGGACGGTCTTATCTGAACAAACCACAACCCGCGTACGTGCACTCAATCTCATGAGAAAACCGCAACAAGGCCGAAATTGCCGAGAGTGTGGTGCGGCTCAAAAATCGATGAATATTTAAATTCGTTTAACGAAGCAAATGGGTAGGTACTCGAGCTACGCGTCAGTTAGATTTCTCGTATTTGATACTTTGAAATTAATCTCATTTGAATTCTTAAAGAGAATACAACTAGCGTTGTCAACATCAAGTACCTCCCTCAGAACGACAAGTACTGGGAACGAAATCAGACGGGTGACCTTCCCACAACAACTGTTTCACACCGGCTAATGCGATTAGGCGTCTGAAAACGAGTGGAGAACAAGCAAACCGACATTGGCGAAAACGAAAGTGCCAAATAGATAATAATAACTATAATAATATACCTGTACATCATCATCGTTCATTGGAGATGACCTCCGGTCGCTCCGATTATTGGTCATGCGATACCGTCCGACCGTAATCCCGTTGTACACGTTTGCGGAGTTTGTCACCCTACCGTGATTTGGACATTTTTCGCGGTGTGGATTAATTCTATTGCTATTTTATTGTGTTTAAATATATATTGTATTTTTTTTTTACCGACGATAGGTATAGTCGTCCCCCGGAAACTCGAAGACCCGATTTACCACGGTGCATGGTCTGTTGCAGACATTCAAGGGCGGCGGCGACGGCGATCGGCAACTGCACTGGGACGCAATAGGTGCGCCGGATCGCCGCCGTCACTCACCGTGTTCCCAACGGTCAGTACGGATTCCGAGTTTAAAGTGATTGATACTCAGACATAACTCAATATTGTCCGACAATAGATACTACTGAAGTCTAGAGTAAGTCATTTTTACCTTTTATAAAGAAAATAAGTATCTACTTCTAGTTTTAAGTTAATAATACAATGTATTGTTATCAACTTAATCAACTTCAAAGTTTTTTTTTTTTAATAAGGGTTTAAAAACGGTAGTGAGTAGAATTTTACTAGTAGGTGCTGCATAAACAATAAATACGATTTGCCTAATAATTTTGAACAAAACATTCGATAAATGTCTTTACATTGCTTTAATAATAATATAATCAGTATTTATATCCCCTTGGGCTCTCAAATTGCAAATATTTAATTACAAAATAAAGTAATTATTTTATGTTTTATCTTCTTATATTATTTTGATTGGTAACCCTTTAGTTTTATATTAGGTATAAAAGTTTTAGACTTTACATGCTTCACCTTTCCGTTTTATATGTATATTATTACTTCTCCTCTAGAAACAAATTATACAACAAGATTATATTATTATTTCATTTTTTTTTTTTTAGTAATAAGTACTGTGGAATGCGTGAAAGTGAATATATCCCTATAGTGTGCTAATCAAATAACTATATAAAAACACGCCTGGTGTGCAGTTATTATCAGATAAATCGTTGTATTAAAAGAGATTAAGCGGATGCCAAATATTTTCAATTATTTAACGTTTTTCGAAAGCACTTTTAAAAGTACATTAGTATCGCGTTATCGAATCATGTCATTCTCAAGGGATAAACGTGCACTGACATCGTAATACGATATACTTTTGACATATTTTGTTAAACAACTCGGCTTGTCTTAAATGTTTACTGGTAATAGTGTCTAAATTTACAACAATGAAAGTATGTACATAAATATTTGATTTTAATACCCTTTGTTTAACTAATGCGTAACGTACATTATGATTAGTTGAAATTTATATTTATTACAATGATAATTAGGGTCAGATAAGCTAACTGCAAACAAATGGCTACAATTTTTGTAATAGGAAAAAAAATCATTTTTGCTTTTTATTTTACTTACATTTTCATTACTCACATTAACATCATATTGTTGAAAATTTCTAATAAAAAATTTTCGAGTCATTTTTAAAAAATTGCGTTTACATTTTCCCTGTTTGTACGACCATACGACTATTCCAAATAAAAAATTCTGAAAAATGTAAGATGGGTAAGATTTAACTATTTCTTTAATGATAATACACAACTTTTTTATTCGCGTTTAAAGTGTCTTAATTTATTTATTAGATTTGATGCGGGGCTGAGAAAGTATTGCTTTTTAATATGTTTAAAATTTTACTTTTTTTTTGTGTCTTGACCAAAAATTTAAATAATTAACCCTTCTCCTTCAAAATCGAATAAAATACCCTTATATAATTAAGAAGCGCTTTCATTTTTTTTTAATAGTTGAGTCTGGTCCATATTTGTTTGGAATATATTTGAAAAATATTTTCATTGTATTGTTAATTACAGGTAACAACGGCAACAAATTAATATAGACTGATCGACCCTAATCGTACCACCCAAATATTAAAAATACATTTTTAACCACAATACTGTCATTACAATGCTTTTATCGATATTTGTATTCTATCATCTACAGATTCGCATCGAAGCTTTTATTTGATAGTGTTTTATCACTTTCAGTCTTAATAATTCCTGTAGATCTTTGATCTCCTCGGCCCTAATATTCTCCGACTCCATAATGCCCCGACCACACTGTACTGCCTTTTTTATATACTAGTTTTTTTTACAAATTGCTCATACACTTGTGTAGAAAATATACCATTGCCGGTTAAAATCGAATGCAGATGGCGGGCTCGATGTAGCTGTTAATTAATACAATATGGTTTTTGAGCTCAAGCATGACAATGCTTGAAGTATTAAAACCGTAGCATAAGTAAGCGAATACAAAAATACCATCAACTAGCGTGTAATTAGTTGTTGCGGAGTATAATAATATATAATTGAAGGTAAAGTCGGCTGATGACGTAATGACAATGAATTTAATTTTTATTTAGTTTTTTTATCGAAATTAAGTACTTGGACAAAGCGTTAATTAATAATCACCCGCAAACGTATAATTCATTAACGATTAGCTGTACTGCATATTTTTTCATCTAAAAATCGTATCGAATACTGCCCGCAAGTTGAGCTCTTTCAATCGCTTTCACTAATCCTATGTGTAGGCTTTTTTGTTCGGCTAGTAATATGCACAATAGAATGTTATTGTAAACCGAATCGGTGAATTGCTCGTTCCATTTATCACAACAATCATTTATCAACATTTGATCGTACCATTAATGAACATTTATTAATTATTATTATGATGTTTAATGAAACTGTAAGTCAAAATAATCTTCGAACAAAACTAAAAAAAAAAGTATTCTTATCGGATTTTCAAACAGCAGAGAATTTATAGTCGGACAACGCTAAATCTAGCCGCATCTATCACTAGAGTCTAGATCTATATGTATTGAGACACGTTTGTTAGAAAAATCATTTAAAATCCTACAGGAGTTTTATAGAAACTGTAAACATTGTAAATCGTTTACTTTGCTGCACCTTCGAACGACGTTAGTTAAATATTATTTTCTAAATACCTATACAAATGATACGATACAAAATATATAAGAGCCAGCAGCTTTATTGTTGCGGATTTATGGTGTCATGTAAGATAAAAAAATTATAATAATATAAACCCTTGGTACGGTCATCAAAGTTAAAGTTTCGGACTCGTTTAAGTAATTCCGATAATTCCATGTTTTTAAAAATCATAACGTTGCTCAAGTGAACCGTCAAAACTTATATGATGGCCTGAAAGCGATTTTATGTGTGCTGGGCCGAGTTTTAGCAATTTTACCAACCTGCTCCCTTCCCCTCAATCCTCTACCGGTTCACGCGTGCCTGTTGGTCCATGGCTGATCGTAAATTACTCTTGTATTTTTGTTTCGTTTTAATATTGTTATTTATTTTCATTTTTCTGGACATGAACGAAAAGAGCGAGAGAGAACGCGGCTGTACTCTATCTGGCTATACATATATAAGCCGTACGTACTCTGACACCTTTGACCCACCACCATGGGCAATAAATAATCTGACCGGATCCGAAACGCATTTTGCCTGCCGGTAATTGCTCCCGGATAACCACAAACTTCCCTGCGTACTCGGCGGGAGTGTGTGTGCATGATGTGAAGCAGTGGCCGTGCGGTAGAAATCCTATTAATTATCCAGTGGCTCCACTCCCGGAATGCATTATGCAATTATTACCAAGCTATCAAACACATAAATACTAAAAATGAAAAAAAAAAAAATGAAAACTATATTTTTTATTCTTGTATTAGTACGAGTTTTTATTGATTGTTGTTATACTCGGTAGTATTAAATTAATAATTTAATAAATAATAATAAAGTGTCCAATGGCATTTCTCTCTTTCGCCCGCTTAAAGTCAAATCGTTCCGTTAATACCGTTTTTTATAACGTACCCGACGAGTTGGAAAACAGCCAGCAATAGTAAACTGCTGCCCCGTTGCAAATAATTCTGGTCAGTGATTTTTATTAATGGGCAACTGAGTTGAATAGTGCGGCTAAACCCAGACGGCCAACCGCTTCCTTTGATATTCTATTTGCGACCGTTCGGCTGAAGTCATAAGTGTAATATTATGTATAAAAATTTGTATTTGATTATCCAATTGTTATTGTTATTATTATGACATCAAATAGACTTGGTCGTGGCGCTTAGCCAAAAACAACAGCGTTCGGGTTTCACTAGTTCTGATTTGCCCCTGCCGCTCTGCGACAGACTTGTTGAGCCAAAGAGATGCTACATTTTTACTTTTAAGTCTGAAAGGGATTCGATAAAATGACCCGTCAAACTTTACCGGCTCAATTTAGATTTACGATGGCAAAGTTCTATGATTATTTAGCTGCTACTCAGTAAATAACGATATTCTATATTGTACAATGTTTAAACCGACCCTATTAAAGTAACGCGAAGGTTGCTTCTCAAGTGTAAATATACGCTACTAGAAATTTAAAATAATATGTAGGTACTTCAATTTGTTCGTCGTTAAAATAATTATAGTTAGACTTATCGTGTATCTTTCTTCCAATGAACATCTATTTATCTTTGAGCAATAGATTATTATAGGTGTCTATCTTTGTTTTTCCAACAAGTACCAGTTGACCCAAAAAATGTTTGAGTCGAGTATGAGCTGTCTAAAGTATTTATCTTTTTTATTCAGCGTTTTTAAGTCTCTTACGTAAAAAAAAAACCTATAAACACAATTAATTGCCCCCTCTTCTCAAGGACGACACAGGAATATGTGTGTGTGTGTGTTTAAACGGATTTTGTCATTTTCACGGTTTTGCTCGTGAAACGTGTTCACAAGGAGTCCTTGCAAGGACTTCGTCATGCAATAAACACACATACACACATACACACACACACACATACGTCTACCCGTTAATGTATACGAAATTAACCTCGATTTCATAAAAGATGCGTCGAAACGAATCAAACCCTGACCGCGTTGCAAATTCAAAAATATGTAGGTACGACATTATTTAAAGTAATTGTGTAGAAAAAAATACAATAAACTAACGGTCAACGGTCTGACGTACATAAAGGTCGTCTGCCGGATGAAAATCGCTCGTGATCGCAGTTCCGTTTCCGCAGCATATAAATCGATCACAAAGGAATTATTGTCTATTAATAATTATAAATAATACATTTTGTTAATCAACCGTAAGTGTAACGCGTTTGTTTGTTTGTGAGTTTTCAATACGGGAAGCAGTGTAACGCACATGCATAGCATACATTACGGAGTATAGCGAGCCAAATTATATTATTATACAAATATTTACTAGCTTTGCTGGAAACAAAATAATATTACAAGCGTCATTCGAAAGAAAAATAACCGGCTGTAACAACAGAAGCCATGATTTATCATATTTTTAGCTAAAAATCACAAACTGTGACTTGTATTTTGATAAACGCTAAAGTTACATGCAAGGATGAGGATGACTTAATTTATTGTCTCCGCCACTATGTTCATATCAACAAGGTAGAGGTGAAAAGCAGATGAACCGTAATCCTCACTTATTGGTCCAGGACAGTGTATTTGTGTTGAAATAAACTAGAATAATGATTATTTCGTAATAACATTATATTACATTTGTATCGCGGAGCTTTATCGTGCATTTCATATTTTGTTATTCTTGTTTGTTTTTTGAGCTACTACGAAATGGTTATTGGATGCGTTTTGTTTTAGCGCTCAAGCGTTACAATTTGATTAATACGTCATACAGCAATTTATACTAGCCGTTACAGTAATATTAGATAAATAAATTATGATGATAATAATAATAATAATAATAATAACAAATAAGAGTGGCTGAAGCGAATAAAAGCCGTCAAACTGGCGTATCGCATCACTTATAACAAAACAATAATTTATATAGTCATAATATTATATGTGCGATAGCTGTACACCAACCGGCAACAATAATAACAGTGGTCATAATAATACAAATAATAATAAGAAAATTATAAGAACAGCAATAGAACTTTAAGACGTCTGTGTTTGACATCCCTAATAACAAAGAAAATAGTAGAAAAAATGTAATAGTAAAAAATTAAAAAGAAAAGGAAGAAATTGTTGAGCATAATACGATCACGTACCTAGTCTTCTAATTCTGAAAAGTAGATAATGCAACTGGAGTATTGTTGAGGATTCCATATTATATAAACTTAAAGTTTTTTTTTGGATCGAATTGGCGATTCCTTCAACTCCGCGGAACTTTGGCATAAAAAAACACACAAATATATATTAAACAAAACAGCACATTAATAGTGTTGCTGTGTAGGCATCTCTAAAATACATTCTAATTTATAAATATAGAAAGAAGACATTTATTTTAAAATCATTATCAAAAAATAAATATCGTTTGTTATTATACATTTCATTACGATGTACTTTGTAAATGAGTAACTTTGAAACTCATAACACAAATACAACGTAATTTTTATATAGAAAAAGCTATTAGATAATAGGTACATTTTGTGTATTATGCCTATTTGATAATAAAAAAATAATACCCTGTGACTACGACCTCGGTATATTATATTAATTCGGAAAATTAAACGTCTGTAAACGGCTTTGGGTGAATAATAGCACCAGTAGACTTAACTGCCGTTCATTTAATTTTATTTGGAGAAAAGGTTTCAGACAAATTACAAACGGTTTGTCTGCCGTTTTTCATAAAGTACCCTAAGAACTCCCCTCGTTTGAAATAATTTTCAATAAACACGTGGAACATGAACATATAATACATTTTTCCAAACTAGACTTATTTTTAAAATCCTTTTAGCTGAATTGTAGAAATAATACTCAATACTTACTACAGATTAAATAATTTATCATATATCCTATCGTGAATACACAGAGAACCGAAACATTGAAAAATATTATTTGGTATTTTAAGCGTTTGATGAGATGAATTTCACATACAACTTTTATGTAGATAAATAACGTTCATTGTGTCAACTTGTGGCAATACACTAACCTATCCCCTTCCTTTACCCCCCCCCCTTACTATGGAAATCATTGGATTCAAAATGTGTGAACTACTTGTGTATACAGTAACACAAACAAGACAATTATATACAATATATTTTATTTGATTTTCTTCACCTAGTAGACCTTAAGTGTTAAAATTAATGTTGAAGTGTTATGGTTTTGTTTTTTGACTAGATTAATACCAATAGACAAATGTCTACGAATCCATTTATACGGAAGACTTACCAATAACACAACAACAGTGCTCGAATTGGAAAAATAAGAGTAGGGGGCGTTTTACTTAAATAAATTAGTGTACTTGGTGTTTTTTTACCCCTGAGTTATAAAAAATAGTTGGCGTATTCAGCCCCCCCCCCTCAATTCAAACACTGCACAACACAGATAACATTAATACGATTTATAAAATATATACATTAAACATGTATACCGATAAATATACCTACTCTGGTGGGCAAGTTGGAATTTAACCTTACACTCAACAACTGTATCTCGATATTGTATTTCTAATTTAATTTTACAGGTTATACGGTTATTTTGAAAGGTTAGGACTTAGGATATGTTAGTTTAGAATGATTTATTGGTCGGTTATTAAAAAAAAATTATGTTTAAGTTAATGGAGGGGACGAAAAGAAAGGATGGCACACGAAGAAAAGTAAAAAGTGGGAATTAATGTCACTTATGGACACTTATGTGGGATCAAAATCTTTTTAAAAAGTTATCTAAATTATACTATATTGAACAATAGTGAAATTCTGTATCTTTGCAGGAATTTTGGCAAAATAAAAAGAAAACGTGTCCACTGTAACAATGTGGCATCGGCTTTTAGCCACGTTAACTGTCTTGCTATTGGATCCTGTTCGAACTGATTCTGGTATATCGACTACGGGATTCAGCAATGAACTTCGAACCGGTTTCGCCAGACTCTTCCACAATGGCATCGAGCAACCTCAACAGAACCCTTTCATTATCCTGAACCCTGAGCTTTCGAGCAATCTAATCGGTCAGCCGCGACCAGCGCCAAACGTCCCAGCGAGCCCCGCCGGTTATTTTGGACCAGCCCCGCGACCTAGGTACGAGTTGCAGTATCAGTCATGGGTGATTCCTTATTACTTTATACCCAATAGGTTTCATTCGCCAAGACCGAGGAGACCTAACGACGTGCTAGTGATCGTTATGAAATCTTCTCCGGCTAACTGCACGGCTACGAACGGAACGTCCACTGAAAATGATCCCGAAGGTGGCGGCGACGACGACGACGAAGTAAGACTATTCGTGTAAACCCTTATGCAATATGCGAGCACGTTCGACGCTGTCTAACACTAAATTTTATATAAAAGTTAGTCGAAAAATATTAAGAGTTTTTAATATTATTGTCCACGAGTTACATCCAAGGTAATGCAAAAACGGCGAAAGTCTGTACACATTAAATATCTAACCGCACGCTCCACGGCTCGGCCACGAGTCTGGATAATCCTATTTTAAAATGCACGCTTTAATCATATTATGTTTAACGGCTATCTGTTTCAACGTGTCGTAACGATTTACTCTTGGCTGATCGCCTTTAAAACGCGTTCATCAAACGAAGACAATCTCTTTACAAATAATGTGAGTAGTGTACCGACGTTTAAACGTTCCTCGCGGTCGGTCGTTCTTTTTGAAAAAAATAATTTATTTGGGATGTATTGTTCGTTTGAAACACTTTCGGAGCTCGGCTCTTAGGATAGATTTAACGATTTTCGCGATAAAGGGACGATACGGAAAACCTTTGACACGTTTACATTAATTTGTCGGTCGACCACGTCTTTTGATTGCCCGAAATGTACAAGGAGATTTGCCGCAGTGTCGTCACAGTCGGTCTGTGACTATCAACTGAGAATTATACTGTATTTTTACAGGAAGCCGGAAACCCAGACGACGATGCGGAAGAAGTGGAAGTGATCGCTGGCGGCGCAAACAACGGTAAGGAACCATCGCGGTGCGTTTGGGCGATTTTGTCGTGCTGTGTGCCTGCCAATATGCCGGTGAAGTTCACTTGCTTCGACGTGTTGGGCTGCAGTAGCGCCTTCTGGGACACCAACCCTTGCGTGCCGGCTATCATCAAAGTGGCGATGGACGAAGCGACCAAATACTACGGACCTATCACGTCAACCAACCGCACCACGGCAGCATCGCCCTCGCCACCGGCCGACGCACCCGCGGCATCTGACAACATGCCAGTGGACTTGACGTCACCCGAAGGCACGGCTTCCGTCACCACCAGCACGACACCCGCGGCCGCTTAACTCCTTGGCCATTCCTCTGGAACAAGGCTAACGAAGAACGAAGAAGAAAAATTCTACCAAGGATTGTCTAGCTAGAACCATCTTTTCGCGAATTTGTTTTTTATTAACCTCGTAAGTTTATAAATAAAACGTATATATTCTTTTTATCTATTAAAAAAAAAAAAAAATTATAAATCTTATTACTACAGTAATGTGTCCGGATGACTTCTCCAAAAATGTTGAAAATGAAAAGCGTAACGTATTTTACTAATGAGTAACGATATATTCGAATTTACCGATATCTAACTTATCTTAAACATTACTAGGTAATTTAGATGTAGATTGTAGAAAATACCATATAAAAAAATCTTGCAATTGTTTACCATACTATTAATTTTTAAGTAATGATCGATTATTATCTATGTTAATGCTTATCTTTAACAAGTAAAATATAAATGTATGTAAAATCAACTTTGCGTAAATTAAATATCACGTGAGTTAGTATAAAAACAATGGGGTGGTCAGTATTTTTTTGCATTTCTTTAGCTAGATTTGTATATTATTTTTACCTAGTAAAATTAACAAAGCAAATACAAAAACTATGGTTAGAGAGTATGACAAAACAGATGAAGTGAGTAATGGATTTTAAATTATTCTAAAAAGCAGAGTCTAAACGGATTCAAAACTTTGTTAAAAAAATGAGTAACCTGAAAAAATTGGAAAACGTTTATAAACTCTAAATTCAAATCCCGAAAATTTTCTTTGTCTGGGCTCCCTTTTTATCAACTGAAAGAAGTGTACCCAATTGTTATAAGCAGAGATAGGTTAATATATTTACATGTAGTTAACCTACACACGAATTGCGCCCACATAAAAAAATTCAGTTGTTTAAAAATATTTTATTTGTTTTATTCGAAGTGTTAAACGCTTGTTCGGTTAAAACTTACGATTTTGATTATTGTAAGCTATTGGTATAGTCTATAGAGAGTTCTTTATTGTTTAGCCAGAGTCAAAACTTCAATGATAGGTTTAAATTTCGGTAACAAAAATGTTTAAAAAATTGCGCTAGGAGATGGCGGTGTACAGTAAAAATATGTTTATCGTTTTTTAAAACTAATTACAGTATATAATAAATTATAGTTATTTTAATCATAATTGCGAACATCTTAGTGTAAAAGTTATAAATCGTCAACATTTTATAAATTCCCTTAAAGGGAAAACCGTCGAAAATAATCCAAAAGACCTAATCTAAACCATAACATATTACATACTGCAAAAAAATAAGTTTGACTACAGACAACAGGGCGTTTTTACGGTGCACACGAGATGCGTCCGTAGTTTGAGAGACCTTGATAATTGTTTTAATAACACAATTATAATACAAATACCCTTTTTGGCGCAGTTCGTGTAAGTATTTGAGCTACCGGCTAAATAAACTCAGTTCATGTACACCGACTTTTTTTTAAATTAACAACAATTATTTAAACTTCTCTTTAAAGGACGTTAGTTGTGCTAATTCATCTAAGTAGTATATTGTTAGCAATTTGATGTGTGATACTATTTTCATTGAACAATTGTAGTTTTGACCATATGCAATCTATCACAAGGTGAGTGTTAGCTATTAGTTTTCGACCGACGCAGTTTTTCTGACTTGTATTTTTCGCCAACAGTACTGTGTAAAATGTCTGCAAAGTATTTTAGCACATATTTGGCAGTTGCCACGTATACGACCCCAAAAAACAAATACTATAATACTCTAGAAACGTCTAAAGTGGTGTCTTGATAAAGGTACACTATGGCATTGTATGTTGTAAATGAGTCAAAGGACTAGAAAAACCAATGAAATTGAATTTCCACACATCTTTGGCGAATACCATACGAATGCCAAAACAAATGATAATGGACGGAACTTTACATTACCATTAGTTTATTACATAACAAACTCAAATAGTCTTTCACTGTAACCTAATAATGTAACAGTATAGCCAGTAAATCTATAGCATAGATCGAATACGGGCTTTTAAGTTGGAAAACGTGGTCTTTTTATTTGCGTTAATTGTCATTTCACGTGTGTGTTAATTTCCAAAGCTTGTTCGAGAGAATGCGTGTACGTCTCCATTCCGTAGAAGACTTTGTATGACCCGAAGTCCTCTCACGTGTCACCAGAAATATTAACCCAAAAAGTTAATACTGGTTAATGTACGAGTTTATGTATTATACGAGTTTACTGGTTTATGTAAATTAACGCACGAGTAGACTGTACACGCCGGTTTGGTTTTTTTCCGTATGCAATAGAGTGGAAAGGGGGAAAGGAAATACGGAAGAGGCGTCGAGTTGAAAATACATAATAATTATTTTGGTGTTGTGAGGGTAAACGCAAACCAGCCGTGGATACGATAACTCGACAAATCGATGCGCCGCGAAACGGAAGAAAGCATGCACACGCTCGGGCTACCGGGAAAAGAAGAAAATCCCTCGGCTGCGATGAGATATGCGAATAACAGAGGAAAGGGTATGGGAGGGGGGATAACAAGCGGCAAACACGACCAATGGCAATTTCCTGTTTCAATTTTTCAACCCGTTTTCCGACCCGCTAACCACCAACGCGTCGGAAAATTTAATCAAGAGCACCCCGCCCGTTTCCATCGTCTTCCCGGTCGTTTTGCTTTATCTATATAGCCGCAGACTACCGCTGTGGGTGTGTGTGTGTGTGTGTGTATATAGTACATAGTCGCCAGGATATAAGAAAACAAGGGCCGGAATCGTTTTGTGGCGAAAAATTACCCTTTTGGTACACGATGTAAAATCGATGCGCCTAGAGCCGTCGTGTATGCGTTGTACGCGTGAGAGCAAACGGAGCATTTACAGTCAGTTATAACTTGGTGTTGCCAACGGAGTAGAAAATGACTGGGATGGGAACGCAGATAGTATTAACATAACACGGCGCTTGCTAAGTGCTTCAGATCTTGCCAATTCGCCACGGGATACTTATACCGGAGTTGATAGCTCGACAATAACACACACACAGACACACAGTTGTACAAAACGGACGAATGGTTTTTTTTACACCGATGAAAGACATCGACGAGAGCACTTTCAAAAGTGTGCTTTTAAGTCAAAAAAAAGTTCAGTTGTAAAAGTTTTAATTTGAAAAATATAACCCCTACAACTTATTCTGTATAAGAAAATCTTTCAATTTTCTATTAATTATAAGACCTATTTCTAGTTCTCGAGAGTGGGGACTGACTTCATATACATTCGTGCGTGACTATAATATAATACAGTGAAATGGCAGTTAATAATAAGTTGCCGGTAATATTTAATGATCCCGATATTATTATATATAAAGACGGTGTATGATTAACGAATTACAATACAAATCCTGGAACGAGGTTTAGCGGTTATTCTCGCAGAGGACAACCGAAATACTTTAAGCCTTGACGCCGCCACACATGTTATAACTATAATCTTATTTTTTATATAAAATATGTACACGGTGTACGCATTTACAGAGCTGTGCTGTATTAAAATTTACGACTGGTTAAGTCTGTATGAGCAGTTGAACAACACTGTTTTGTGTAGACAAACCTCCGTGCTGAACGCGTAAAGTACAAAATAGCATTTATAGTAATTCCGCAATTGCCTTTTTACCCCTTCATTTCGAGTTTTAAAAACTAAAGATGCATTTAAAATTGACACTAATGATTCAGAATTATCTTGAAACAACTCAAGAAAAATGTATACGTTCAACAATTCAGACTTAGAAAAAGACTGTTTCCATAGAAGATAATGAATAAAAAATTTGTTCATTACATACCGGCTAATCTCATTACCTTAACTGTAGGAAAGCTCTTCTCTATTTATGTAAACACGCTAAAAGCATGATTTAAAATTTCCGTACCATTTTGTATTTTTTACATTTGAAGCAAATACGACTAGCCACAAAGTAATACATAGTCTTTTAAAACTAATAACAAAATTGTAAAAAAATATTTCTTTTTATCTACGCCATCGATATCATACATATAAATATGCATAGAGTCATTTAGTTTTCGTTTTGGAATATATGAATATAAATTAACACACGAAGCGGATACATCGAAAAAGCTCTTATAGCGAGGGACTTAACAAGCGAACGTTTCTCCTATAATACTTTAAAACGAACTGAAAAATCACTGTGCCGGAAAATGTACTTTTCATTGAATCTCAGCGTCGCTTTAAATTATTCAGGTTATTATTATTGCGTGCCTTGTTATTTCACACGTGCCATTGGTGGAATGAATATTAAACTTGTGAAATTCAAAGCGTTTATTTAGTTTGTAAAATACATTTCTATAAACCATATCGATTTTTATCAATAACAAAATAATAGGTGTAGGGTAACTGGTAAGTCGTGTTACCTATAACAGTTATAACAGTTAATAAAGTTATAGTAAAAAAAACTCAATGAACAGCTACGGGTAACTGCATTAAAGCAATTTTTTTTGAAATTGAAACATTGTGGATAAAATATCCTTTCTCCTGACCAGGGCATCTGTAATGTCAAGTATATCAAATTGTATAGTTTCAACTATAAGCTAAACCACAGAGTTGTAAGTGAGGTGCTTGGAGAGTTTAGGGTTTTGACCGTCTAAAACGCCTTCCAAGCTGTCTAAGATTCAGCAACCAAATGTATTAGACAATATATATTGGTATCATAAAAGAACCTTTAGACGTATCAAAAAATGTAAGCTATTATAATGTCCATAATAGCTGATTGTCGATGTTGCGATACAAGTAGTGGCGGTGGTTAGCCCGGAAGCTTTTGGTTAGAGAAATATTATAGTGCTTAATTGACTGTATGCTTTAGCAATAATATCCTAAAACCCTAACCTACCCGATGCAATTACTACTATGTACAGAATAAATTAAAACAAAATATTCCCCTACTACAGCTTAATTTAATTCGGTCCAAAATAAAATTGTTCTGCAGCCCAAACCAGTCCAAAAATTCGTTTACCAACATAAATTATAAAAAGAGCTTAAACAAAACAGTTAAAGTTTTACTACAAATCTTTTATACTCTTCAATCGACCAAACATTATACCTAAAAGTCTTAGTACCCTTAATTCGCCAAACGGTGAGGAGTTGTGTGATGATAATTCATAAAAATGCAAAATTGTTCAAATAGTTTTAAAAACTAATTTAAACACTAATAAATAATAAATAAATAAAACGTTTTTAGTGAAACTATTATTTTATTTATAACAAAAACTTCTACATAAGAAGACATATGTCCTAACACATTTTTTTTAGTAAAACTTATTATAAAAGTTCCATGGATCTGTTTAAAAATAAATGTTCCGAAAAAGTATAAGTATATAAAAATTTATATATTTTGTAAAACAAAAGATAATTTTTATAGTCTTAATTGTAATTTAAAAAAAAAAATGATTTAACTCGTAAATTTAAGCTCAATGAATAAATAAGTCTTATGAACAAATAAATATAAAATGTTTAAAAGTTCTAAAAACAAATACATTTTTTTACGTTCATATGACGTTATACGTAAAAATTAAATACAAAGAATTGACGAAGAAAGAAACCCTAAAGATCATAACGATAGTATGACTTGATCGCAGCAAACAAAGATGTATTTGCTAATTAGATCATTTTACACTAGTTTTTACTACCTTACTTAGATTTAAGATACATAAATATTAATTATAACACATAATATTAGTAGTAATATATATTTGCAAATTTCGTTCTTTTCAACGCAGTTCTTTAGCTAACATACCATTGAACCGAATAATAATAAATATATGTCAAAATAACTGAAATATTGTGCAACTTCTACATTTATACGAATTATGACAATACCAAAAGGTAAAGAAGAGTTATTTAGACGGGCTGTTTTTTCCTAATTCCATAATACCACCACCAATATTTGTGCAGCCCCATTAGTCGGGGCATTGATGACTTTGGCTGCGCTGCGGATGCCTTGTGTATATATAATGTATTATATTATTCCGTGTACATTTTACCTTATGAATGCCTTATGTCTGGGGCAGCGAATTGCTAGACATAGTTGATTATATAAGATGTAAGTAATTTGGGGAAGTTGTGTAGTTCTGAAGTTTTTATTGAAACATTTGATTAATTAAATATTTTAATAGCTACAAGTAAAAATAGTCAGTCACCAGCACTTCTGTTTTATGTTTAGCTGTAAGTGGCCTAACGACTGATATCTGTTGTCCGTTGAATTTTCCGATTCAGATAATTTCATTCGGGTATATACATATATAATAGAGTGATTTATTCTATATTAATCAGTGAATTTAGAATTATTCATGTCATTCCGGATGGGAGCGGAAGTGTGGTTGAGAAATGCGCGCAGACAAAAACAATACTACACTTCACCTTTCCTCCTGCCCTAAACTTGAAAATCAATAACTTCAAAAATAAGTATCCAAAACTGGTTATCGACCAGTCAACATTTTTAGTACATTATTCTCAATTTAAAAAGTTATTGAAATGTGTACGTTACCATTTAAGTTTCAAAAGTTTCTATCAAAAAAAGTAAGTTGGGAGGGGGTAAAAACAAAAAGACAAAATAGTAAAAAATAGAAATCATAATGCATAAAAACACTATGTAAAGGAAAAATGTCTTATTAAACCCAGTGAGATATTGTCTGGTTCACGATAAGTTAATTACTCTGTATAATGCTACTTGTTAATACAAGTATTTACAACGATTTTATTTATGGGTAACGGTGATATTATTTATATTAAATTATGGGTTTTACTTTTTTCTATACCATACACATTGTTTAAGGCCACGCTAAAACACTATACTTTTTTTTTACCAGCTATTTTTACACCAAGCTAACGAAGTGGTTTTGTTGGGTTACATTCTAAGTCATTGACCATATATGTATTTTATTATGTATGTATTTTTTTTTCTATTTGAACTCGAGGGTTTAGAGTGACTTACGAATAATGGATCACGACGAAATAAAGAATTTATACTAATATAATATTAAAAAAACCTTAAATTAGAAACAATATTACATTTTAGCGATTACACACATTTCGGTAGCAATGCTATCATCATCAAGGCTCACATCAAACCGAGACCGATTAGAAGGCAAACAATCTCTTTTGACAGCACCGTCATACCGAAAATCATCATCGTCATTCGCCAACAAGCCGTAGACGTCTTAAGTCCCAGCTGTTATCAATTATTAAAGTTCATTATGAAACATTTTTCTTAAATTTGTAAAAACACATGTTAACGATGTGTCATTACTTTCGGTACGATGTTGCTGTAAAGGGAGGTTGTTTGCCCGTAATCGGTCTCAGTCTGTTGTAAACTCTGATGACAGCATGGTTACCGAAATACGCGTGAACGCTTAAGTGTATCACCTACTTTTATTTGTGATTAAGGGTTTGTTTAATATTATATTAATATAAATAATATTTATAGTTGTATGAATGTTTGACATATTTTATTATTTTATTCTATACTATACAACTACAAGTGTTTTGCTTTAATTTTTTCCATACAAATATTTAATATTAGCAAGTGCTTTTAGATCATGTTTTTAGCGGAAAATCAAATTTGAAAAGCACAAATGTATTTCAATAAAATCTTTTTTAATATTTTACATGAAATTACTTCAAATTTTTTTACAAACATTCTGCTGGTAATATTTTTTCATCAAACCTCAGCAAGACGTATAGAATTTGTGTGTTATGATTTTAGGTTGCGTTCCAAGACCGATGTTGATTCTGACGTCATGATAATGTTATTATACGTACATACAAACGATATAAAGCGATCAAAAGCAAAAAAACACCTACTAGAAAATGATAAAACGCATACATTTTCCAAAAATAACTACCTACGTTAGTTCTAGCACACCACGCTTTTGATTACTTACTGCTGTTTTGAGCTGTGGGCTTTTTGTCAGCTTTGCCCATAGCCCTTTCCCGTGAACGATTAATCTTGACTTGTTTACTCTACCACAGGCCGTCGAAATTAATCTGAAACAAAATATTGTCAAAACGTCAATTTAACCATAATACGGAGTTTATTTTAGTCATCGCTTCTGTAGAACTATAATCAAAACTTAAATTAACCCACAATTTGCCCACAAAGATAATATGCGTTTTAATAAGCCTCTAACCGTTATTGATGTCATTATATCGATATAAGAACTTTGTAATCGATTAAGTCAACACAACAGGGTTTACTAAGGATAACATAATTTTTTTTTTTTATAAAACTCTAATGTTTTTGTTGTTTTAGTAAAAGTCGAATTTTAATGTCAGTTTGGAACCTTAATTTATTTTAGACGACGTGGTGAAATTAGGTTAGGTTAGGATGGCAATGACCGTAAATAAAGCGGTTACATTCAAGTGTGTGTAGCTATGTTCGATGATAAGCTCAGCTACCACCTAACCATACACAGTTTTTTGCAGAGTTAGTTGGCCTTTGATTTGACCGATGAACAAGTCCCAGCACTTTGAAGATAATTTTTCGCTGACATAGGCGCCTCGAGTAATTTTACTACAGTCAAAATATATCACTCGTAATCCCTTCAACCATTCAGACCCTGAGCTGAGCTTCGACTCAGTTTGTTTAAACTTTATTCAGTTGCGATATTAATTTTAAAAAGAAATTCAAATACCAGACGACATTCTTGCCATGTCGACTAATGGTTTCGGGGGTCTTTGAAAACTTTTCCAAAACGTTCACAAGGACAACTTAAAGCTATTACTATGTGCGCAAAACCCCTACGGAATGTCAAACTGCCGCTCAAGTCGACATAGCGCGTGCTCTTACATAAACTAAACGTTTTAGTTGAGTAAGCCGGAGTTGTCTGTGCAAAGCCGGTTATGTTTAAATAACCGGAATAACTATGTCCACAGAGGTTTTATGTTGCGGTTATATAGAGCGGAATTTTGTGACGTAAAAACTTAGTAGCCTGTCTGCGACTGACTTAACTGACAAAACTTGCAGAAATATGTAAAGCTATTTGGTTTAATTAAATTACTGAGCGTATAAATCAATAAAACATCTAAAAGCTAAATTAGCAATTAAGAGTTTAACACTTAGACCGGTCTACTGGTAAATCGCTTATTTATTTGCGATACTTATACGCTAACCTTTGCGTTTGATCCAATTATCCAAGAGGTGTCTTCGTTAATAGCGCGTTTGATTATTAATGTATTTTCGCGTGGAAAGTGTTTGGTTCAACAAGTGTCAACAACCAGAGTTATGTATATAAATTAGCGTGCGGACATTTTCTCTTGATTTATAGTGACATTATAATATCTGAAGGGCCCGTTAAAAGGTGTGCACAAAAAAACCGATCTCAAAGTTTCCTGCGTGGTTAAAAAAATGTTCACGCCGTTGACACACGTCACGACCACAATCAGAATATGATAGTTGAATATTTTATAAAAACGTTAAAAAGAAAGAATAGAGGGCGCGGAAAAGATGATATCAATTTTGTTACAAATCTTATACAAACAAACTTATTTATGTATTAGGTATAAAATTGTTTTTCATGTTGATTTAAAGATTATTACATATACATATATATATAAACTTTTAACTGTTAAATAAGTAAGGTCTAATTAATATAGCTATAGAAGGAAAATATAATGATAATAAAAAAAAATAATTTAAGTAGAAAAAAAAATTCATAGTTGTACGGCATAATTTCTATAAAATTAGGTTAATGTTAAAAATCATAAGAAATGCGTTATAATTAGCTAATTGATTGCTGTCTTTGAAGACTTGGTGTTGCTAAACAAACAAATGTTTTCATAAAAGATAACATCTATAGTAAAATGTGAATTAATAAAATTAATTTGTCGTCGCGTCGTTTTCTTTCAACACCGATATTGTTTTGTGATAAATTATGTCTGGCTAACTTTTAATAAATTATATTTCAAAAAACTAATTAAGGAATTGAATATCTGAAATTTGTACAATACCATCTTCATAATCTAGATTTATTGATGATCTTTTTTCATAGTATAAATATAGTAATACAAATACTAAACAAATACAAAAACAAAGAGTAATACATACAATCATTATTAAATATATTTTCGATAATAAATTCATACATATAGACATTTATTATAAATTAGTCAGCAATTTTCAGTACCTGAGCACACTAATTAAGACTTGAAAATGCATATTAAAGACTGTGTTATTGACGACTGAGATGTCCCATTAATGCAATTATATAACATTAACCAACGTACATGGTAGTAACCATAGCTACATCGGTCACCATTTAGCTATGAAATTCCAGTATATTTTTAAAAGATACACATCGGGTCGCCAGCAGCAGTGACAACAGGTTTAAACCGCTAAATTTGAATACAGGTGAGGAACATGATAAATGATGTTAACCGAGTAAAAAAAAACAATAAACTGACAGGTTTAAAGCAAAAATTTACTATTACAATACAACGTGCATATTCAGTGAAACAAAAATGGATTATGTCTATTGAATAAGCGTTTTAACATAAATTATGTTTTGTGATCATCGGCTTTTAAGAAAAGCGAAATGTTTTAGTACTAAGCCAACTAGAAATAAAATAGTTATGAAAATTATGTTTAACAAAGGAAGATGAGATATAAATAAGAACGTTGATTGATACTTGATGCAAAAACTCTGTTCTATGTTTTAGAATTTTAAAATCATTCTGAAATTTAGTCAAATATGTTGAGAGGAATACTGTTGAGGCTGTGATAGTACTGAATTCACAAAATGTTATCTATGCTCAAGCGTACTTTGATCTATCGACTACATTTTTTTCTAAACGTTTTCGAAAGTTTAGGTTTTAGTAGTTTTTAACAAATTAATACAAACCATATGAGATAGGACGACCACCCTTACGGCCGTCTTATTGGTCGGTGTCATTATTTATTTATTTCCTTTTGCCGCTAAAAACTGAAAGGTGAGAGATTTCTACGATTCGTCTAAAAACCCCTTTGCAACATATAGCGGCGTTTTCCCGTTTATTTATCATTAAAGGGCGTGTACACAAGTATATGTGCATTTCCGTACAGCAAAAAATATATTATGTTATATAATCGTGCGTAATATGAGGGCCAAGCAATTTTTTTAAAAGCATTATCGAATATTCAATGGAGCTTAGTGCTTTTGTTGGCACTATTATTCTGTCAACTGCAGCGCAAGGATAGTTTGGAAATAATCGCAAAAAAGTATGTTCTTACTCCGACATTGTCAACGCTCTTTGTACGCGACCGTCTTGCGTTTAAAGCCTTTGAAAGCTACACGTTAAAACATGAAAAAAAAAAATGCGGTGATCTGTCGTTTAAAAATTACATTGCATTGGCGAAAAGGAAGATTTCGAGCTAGCGACTCAAACGTTTTCAAGTCAAATATTTCAAATATTCGTCCCATGTCCCATGTCGGAACCGGAATGTTACAAGTGAACTATCTCTTAGATGTTCAAAAAGCCATGACATGGCAGCTACAAAATAACATCATAATATTTTGGCCCATAATGTGTATCTAACCTTACTATGGGATGCAATATAAGAATAACAAAAAATACATAAATATTTTATTTATCGTGTAAACGACCCAGCGCCGCTAGAATCTACTTTCCTGGAATTCAGCGAAGACGACCTTTTTTTTTTTACAGTAGCATCGCGTTCCCCGACAGTAAAATATTGTCGCGTTAACAACGTTTTATTAATATCGATTATTTTTTATTGAACATACGCGGTACACGATACTGTATATATACCTAATAATAATATGTATTTATACTGGATAAGGAGAAGGGAACACAACGACCCTTAGGATATGTCAACCGTCACCGCCGCCGCCACCCATGGGAAATGAGAAATCGACGGGGTGGCAAAGGATAAAAGGTCGGTGGTGCATTCCGATCACGTACTCATGTTATTGTTGTGCATTTATATGTTGTAGCTTTTCGAAGTTTTCCGGTCACCGAAAAATCTCACGCGTCCTCGAACAACCACCACGACGTCTTACCAGCCCCGTTAGATTATATGCAACTCGCCATTGTTCTGTTTTATTGCAATTTTTTGCATCCTCTAAGCTCAACGTGGTTTTCTCATACACTAAACCACAACCACGGTCGTGATCGTTTTCGCGACGCTACTTAAAGCAGAGGACGCGACGACGGGATAGCTGACGAGTTGAAAAGACTCATTAGCTTCCCGGGTCGGTACAAAATCATGAGCTTATTGGTTGTAAGTAATTATTGTATCCAGTGTTTTATCGTCGAGACGATAACATTCATATGAAGTGCAATTACCGCATTTGGGACGATGGGTACCCGCAATTCACCTATGCCATATGTAAAGCGTCAGGATAGTATGCTAATAATATTAATAATTCTAAAGCACAAACGCCGCGTGTGCGAAACGCACGAACGGATAGATACGACGAGCAATTTAACTGCTGGTAGTCAACACGAGAAATCGAACTATACTTACACAGAATCGATACAATACGAGAACACCGAGGCCGTCTACATACAAATCGCATAATGCAATAACGTGCTAGGGCATCGCATACTTGGCGACGGTAAGTTTTCACCTGTTTCACGACACTAATCGGACATTAGCCAACGTTTTGAATATCAATACAGCGCCGTTACAGGAACAATAGAGAGGTACGTGTACGGGAAACTGTATACAGCAGCTGAAGACCGACACTTGATGTGTGTGTGTGTCATGTACGCAAGATTGTTGGGCGAACCATATCATATAAAATAACGGCCTTATATAATAATAATAATATTACGACCACACATAGGTATCCTTACGCTATCGAATGGTTTTTACACCGGCGTCCTCTACAGAAATAAATTATGACAATGCATAAGAACGTATGTACGTGGGACGGAAACTTTTGGGTTAAACCAAAGCTGTACTGTTTTTCATTTTCTTAATCGAAGTTGCTGGTATACTTTTATTAACTGACAAACAAAGGATATCTGATTATTTTTCAAATATT